AACCTTTGAGTAAAACTCGAAGAGTTAGCATATCAGATTCTGTTATACAAATTAATCATATTTACGACTTCACGAAGAATTGGTCAACGATACATTTCTTAGTTGTCCGTTACAATAACACAAAACAAAAGATTTAAACGGAATATCTAGTGAAATAAATTTGAAATTTCAATTTATTTTGTACTTTAATACTTTGGTTATTTGATTCTATGAGATATAAACTTTCAGTAGCTTCACTAGAGAAAAGTAGGTAATTTTGAAAATAATTTTAAAAAAAAATTTTTTTGAGTCCCCTGAAATAGTAAAGGCTAGTTACGCCACCGTAAATTTTTATAGTAAACTGATTCAAAATTTTAAAGGGTCCTCATCCATCATTATTGATGTAATCAGAAATTTCTAAAATAAGTCTGTAAAAAACCCATAGAGCAGTGAAGTTGTCTCAATGCTAATAAAAGCTAAAACATTGGCAGAGACGCCATAATTTAGAATATCCCTAATTACCCAATCCTTTATATCACCTCCATATTATCTTAAAACATAATTAAAATGCCCAAGATGAAATATAATATTTTCCTTTAGCACTCCTTCTCTTTAACGCTTCTTAGCCTCCCTTAACCTCCGTTATATAACTTCACTTGCTAATTAGCATTACTTTCTATGTGAACCATCTAAAGCCATATCTCTCTACAGTTCTCATTTAGATAGAAAGCAATTTGAACTCCGTACATTCTAGTGAACACGGAATAGTTTTAGAGAATCATACTAACACAGCTGAAGTGCTTTTTTTTTCAAAATTAATCATTTATGTTTCCACATATCGCTAGGTATCACTTCTACAATCGTAAAAGCCTGCTCTTCTTATAGATTCCATCTTTATTATTTTTTTAAAAATCTATATTTAAAATGATACCAGAACAAATTTTTAATATCTCATATCTCATTACCTTCCACCGGACACACTTATTAGAGTTCTGCAGAGTAGTTTTTCACGGCCTGAGCCTGACCCGACCTTTGAGTAGGGTGAGAGGCTTCGAATAGCCCGTGCAAGCCTCTAACACACTTCTGCTATCGAGGGAGGGAGATATGATTTGCTAATCTATTCCTTGAGTTTCTTCAAATTTTTTTTTAGATGATGGATAGACGTTAAGTTTTTTTTGGAGGGGGGGGGGGCTGAGTTGGGATTGTTGGGTGGGTACGAAAAATATTTAAGAAAGTATGAGGGGTGATTTTATAAAAATAATCGTTGACGTTTTTATCGCTTGGCTTATTAAAAATTTATATGTATATTATATTTAAAAATAAAAATATATAGAAAATGAATATATCAATTTTAAATTGGAAATGCAACAATAATTAGCCACTGACTCTTTAATACAGTATATTTTATCTTATTCTTATTTTAAATTTTTTTTACAATTCAATTTGTTTCTTTATTTGAGTAAAATATAGAGCTAATATTTTGAAAGATTTACTATATATAGGGGAAGACTCGGGTTATTAGAACCGATTTTTTGTAAGATCGGTTATAACTCCGGTATATTTTTTTTTGCCCAATTGATGCTTGCTAATAAAAGCCATATTAGACCTTTTAAGTCTATTTAATCTTAAAACGAAATTAAGTGGTTTGACTAGCCCCCGGGGGTTCACCTAACCCCAGGTCTCCCATATACCTAACAATAAAATAATTCTATATATTCGTATCGTATTCAAAATTGGAAATCCTTGAATATTAAATTTAAATTTGATAATATTTAATATATTTTTTCATAGTTAGAATTAGCAAATTATTCGATTTATTTGAATTATTCGATTTGAATAATTAGATTTATTTGAATAATTCGATTTAATATGACAATCAAAATTGATCATTTTCTTATCTTCATTTTTGAGTATTCCAAAAAATTTAAATAATATAACTTGCTTGTGGTGTCGAAAATTCTCGAAATTTGAAAAAATTATATATTTCCGGTAAAAAAAAATTAAAATAATAGCCCACTCATTGTAAATTTTAGACGCTTTCGCCATCGTGTTACTCTTAATTTTATATTAGTCATTATACATATAACTTTCACGAACGCGGTTTAGTGTTGTTAAAAGGACTCCATTTTGGGGCGGAGGAACGACTAACTCCATGTTTTATCCAGGAAAATATTACTCAAGCCCTCGAAGATAATGGTCGTAGATTGCGCAGAAGGTTAAGACATCTGTAAGCCAAATATTGAAGGCTTAATGAAATATATACTACTAGGCTTAAATATTGAGTTAACTGTTTTTTTGATTCGGTTCAAATAGAGCTCTGAACAACTCTAATTCTGTCGAGGTAGCTACAGGCGATCGTCATAGACTCATTTTATATAAAAGAAGCAAATTCATAGCCCCGTTAGTTTCTTAGAATAGTTAGAAGGATAAATATAATTTAGAAATGACGAAAACATACGAAAATATGAATATGAAAGCTAGGGCGTTCCCTCCAAGCTACTCGAGGGGGTATACCTCCATCCCGTGAAAAGTAAAATAAAGGGCAAAGCAAAGAAGACAAGATTAGCAAGTTTGAATATTGGGACGCTTAAAGGTAAGACGAGAGAATTGGCATCAATGTTGAACAAGAGAAAAGTTGATATAGCGTGCATACAAGAGACGAAATGGAAAGGTCAGAGACTTTAATGATTGAAGATGGGTATAAATTGTACTAAAATGGAATTGTTAGCAACAGGAACGGTGTAGTCATCATCCTCAGTCAAGATTTTACCTCCAGGATCTCTGATAGACTAATTAAAATAAAACTCTGCATTGTTCAATCAATACTACACATTCTTTAAGTATATTCTCCTAAAACTGGTTGCAAAGAAGAAGAAAAGGATAGAGCTATCCTTGATGAAGCTGTAATGGAAATCCCTAAGGATGATTTAGCCATAATAGGTGGAGACTTAAATGCGCATGTGGGGAAAGCAAGAGATAGCTACAAAAGACATCATGATGGTTTTGGATATGGAGAAAGAAATGATGAAGGAGAGCATGTACTGAAATTTGCGCAAGCCTTTGACCTTGCCTTAACCAACACTTACTATAAGAAAAAGGATAGTCATTTAATAACATATGAAGGTGGTACAAGGAAAACCCAGTTAGATTACATGCTTATCTCTAGCAGAAGATTAAAAGATGTAATAGACTGCAAAGTCATCCCAGGAGAAGATTTTGATGCGCAACACAAGCTGCTAGTCATGGATTTACACCTCACAAATAAATACACTCAAAACATAATAAAACTTGAACCATACATCAAATGTGGTAGATTAAAATAAATGACAGATGCCTTTGCAATCAATGCAAACATTGAAACAAAATATTCCTCACAAGTCAGTGAAAAAATGTGGATAGACCTTTCATCCAGTTTACTGCCAAATCGACATTAGGCTTGACAAGGGGAGGCAGCAAGCCATCAAAGAACTATGGTGGTGGAATAAAGAGGTACAAAATTATACTTGTGTAAATCGTTTTGCCCGATCTTTTTCTGTCAACTCTACCATGAAAGCTGAAAATACCTATACAAATAAATATAGCCACCACCTTAATAATCTTTTGTTTGTTCTGGTAGTCTCCCACTGATATAACATATTTGGACTTCAAGTAAAATTATTCAAAACAATAGAAGCAAAGTTTAATCACAGGTGATTCAAAAAAAAGAATATCAATCGAAATTTGCCGATCCAACTGTATATCTATACATGGGTCATTAAGTCCCGCCCAACTAACTTAAATATATATATTTTTTTAAAGTTTTTTATCCTTACTTTTATATAGATATGGTATGTTAATATTTAAAATCAAAATTTTATCTTAATAGTAGTTTTAGTTAATATTAATTTGTAAATAAAAAAAAAATTTATTATATAAAAAATATATATATATATTAATGATTATAGAAAAATTTTATTAAAAGATTTTATAAACTCCATTAAATCATGTATACCTACGAATTCAGTTTTTGAATCAAACTGACTAGAGAAATTTAAAAACATCCCGAAAGACATTTTTTGACAAGATTTCTGAAAATGTAATCTTTTTTTATAATCCGTTTCAAAGTGATTTTAAATTCCCTAATATTTTTCCCTAAATATGTTTAATTAGTTGCATTATGTTGCAGCTCCAGTTAACATAACATTAATGATTGAATAGAATTATAAAATATTTTAGGCAATGTTTCATTAGTGTATAATAGGGTGCATTGAATAAAATTCCCTCCATCTTGTTTTTTTTTTAAAATATTTGCCATTTGAATAAGAACTATTTTTTTTTTGAATTTCCATATAAAATATAAAATTAATTTATCGATTTATTGAATGACCATATGGCGTTAAATATTATTTTCTTATTATCTTCTCCGATAATTTGCTTGTTGCGTCATATACACATGGAATTTCATCTTTGGTGAACGGATCTAAGTAAAAAAAATAAATAAAAATAAAAAAAGGAAAGAAAGGAAAAGAAATGCAAGTGAAGTCCTACACTAGAGAATACTCCCTTGATAAAGAACCAGTCAGCATTTTGCCTATAGGTTTCACGTCAATCCTAATGAGGTTAGTGACTCAAATCTATAGAGTATACTTGCCAATTTATGGGCTGCAATATAAGGTCGCTGCATTTGGTGTGCCATGAGAATCGGTCTTCGGTTAAATCCGCAGTGATGACAAGGGTCTACGCTTGCTGTCAACAATGGTTACGCGGTTTTTTAAATGTTAAGGCCAAACAATTTAGCTTTTAAGCCTTTAGCGCCTTATACCAATAATAACGCATCTCACTTTCTCTGCCATAAGGAGCGTATTTAAACATAAATATAAATTATATATATAAATGAACTATATTTGTTTTTTTTTACATATCTATTTTATAAGGTAAGATAGAAACATTTAAAAAGTAAAGAAAAGATTATATCAGAGACCATGCTGAGGTCTAAAAAATAATTTTTTAAAATTGTACAGTTAATTTTAAAAATTAAAATTATTTTATTTTTTTTTTGAATTATATTTGAATCGCTTTTAGATTTGTTTGTAATAAAAATTATTTGTTTCCCAGCCCTATTGGTACTAGCATATCCGTTATTTTTTTTAACATATAGGATTATATAATATTACATAATATTTTTAAAATATCTATATTTATCCCTCTAAATTCTCAAAGATCTCATAATTATATTATTATGCAATGCTTCTAAGAATAAATTTATATTTCAATTCCATGAGTAATAATTCGGCATATTTTATTAAATGTATAAAAACGCGGCCTAGTGGGTTTATGATGTATACCTGGACGCCGATGGTAAAAGATTCAGTCCTGATAAGGAACTGTAAAATTTTCCCTTTATTCTTCGATTACTGATGTATAAAGACATACGATAAGATAAATTTCTGAGCTTAGAAATGCCACCCCGGTCACCGACAGGCTTGGACAGCTGGGTGCTAGGATATTTGTTCGACAAACAAAATGAAGGAATTTGATATAAGAGATAGCATGAATAAGATAAAGTGGAGAGAGATATTGAAGCCGCATATCACCAGAAAAAGGTGAAAGCTAAAAATAAAAAAAATAAAGAAAAAAAGGATAAACTTTATTTTAAAAAAAATCAAATGTAAAAACTTTTCAATCAAAAGGCTATTTTCTTTATTTATTCCCAACTCCATAAGTATTTAAAATTTTGACATAAAAAAATATACATGCTCTAGCCCGCATATCCAAAGGTTCTGGTAAAATTTCTAGCAACATTTTATACTATTCTTAAGTAATACTGTAATACTTACTATACATTAACTCTAAATTAGGCAAACCGGATCTTACCCCGTGTCTAGTTTTCGGTAAAATTAATCAAAAGAAATTATATTTAAATTCATGTTTAATTCATCTTTTATTTATTATTTTTTAAAAAATAAATTTAAAAAAGTAGAACAGTCATCGAGTTCTTAAGACTTAAGACTTAGATAGTTGCTTCGGAACACGCATGATGAGAATCCACGATCCTCATTCTATTTTCTTGTTACTCAAAATATTAGAAAAAATTAATAGCCTAGGGAACCTAAGAGCTCATTGGTAAACTATCGGAATAAAATGAAAATCCTGAAAAGTCATAAAGCTTTCGTTATTTAGATCTTTCAAAAGTTGTTAATCAAGTAAATTTTTCAGAGTTATAGGGGGAAATACACCAAGGGATATTTGTAGATTATCTGATCTTATGTCATCAGACAGGGATATTTAAACGGATTACAATATATTTTGATGATTTGTCAAGTTTAATTAATTCGAGATCATCAAAATAATTGCTCTGTGAGGACCGAACCGTTTTTGAAAATAAAAGCAAGCTGGGCCATGTTTATCATTATGGCGTTCTAAAACCCTTTATGTTAATGAAATAGGCATGCTAAAGACTAATCCATATATTATACGAGATATTTTCACCATCATCCAGCGTTGTAAATCCAAATTAGACCTTTTGAGTGGACATTTTAACAAAGACTATACAGAGACCGATGGGCAACCCATCAGGCCTGGGGGGTTAATATAGACTCGGGGTTCAGATCTCCCTCATAAAATCAGTTTTAAATTTAATTTAAAATTCTTGAATCCTTATTCGTGTCACATCTGATATCTACAGACCATGATTGGCACTACAAAAATCTTATAGCCATTTATAGCCAGAATAGGGTAAATATATGTGAATAGGAGTATTTTTAATTTAGGCATTATTATCTATCAGTTTTTTAAATGTATTTAATAATGACACTCGTTTCACTGTATTACCTTTTATTTTTCATATTGAAATTTCTACTACGATGTCAAACAATCGTATTTGTAAAAATATTCTTGAATATGATATGCTTGGTTATAATAAATTTAAACACAGAAGCAATGTTTGGTAAGTGTTTATTATTATTATTTTTTTATTAATAATAAATTTATTAAAAGTAAAATTTAAATTCTTATAAGAATTTTTCTTATATAATAATTATTGATTACCTATATATTTAGTTAGATACATGAATCAGACCCAATAGTACATGCTGTAAAATGCAAAAGGAGTCAATTTTTGATCGATCATTTAGATATCGAATCTGGAATATCCCTTTATTTGAAGAAAAATGAATTAATAATTATTAAGGTAAATAATTATTTTGGAAAAGCAACCTCAGTGGAGTTATTGATTATGACTTCTTTTTTAATAACTTTAGCCACATTTGTGTCATTTATAAATTCAAATGTGTAAATGTAATATTTGAATGTGGAATTAAGGTACAACATTTGAGAATATCTAAGTTACCTATTAAATTATAGATTTTGACGATATTATTTTTCTAGGTTGAAGATTTAAATTTCTTACACCATGAATTTACTTTTTTTTTGCATTCTACAGCGCGTACTATTGGGTCTGATTCTTGTATCTATGTAAATATATAAATAATCAATAACCATTAGATCAGAAAAATCTTTTATAAGAATTTAAGTTTACTTTTTAATAAATTTATTTGATAAAAATAAAAATATAAACCACTTACCAACCATTGCTTCAGTGTTAAATTCTTTATAGCATATCATACTCAGGAATAATTTGCAAATACGATTGTTTGACATCATAGTATAAATTTCAATATGAAAAATAAAAGCAATAATATATTTGGTGATTTATATATCAGATCAACAAAAAATAGTCGATTTTCAACTCGACCCTTTTTAATTTTTCTTAAATTTTGTATACTGGTAGTATATACTATCTTCCAACATTGTTTACCCGCTAAGATATGGCCGTTTAAAGCGCGGAAAAATGGTACATTTTTGACAAAATGCACCTCATTTATTTTCAAATATCTCGAGTAATAATTAAGTTAGAAAATAATTTAAATTTTATTTTGTAGCTTAATAAAAGTTCTTTAAAATGACATAAAAATATATATGAAGGACATTTTATTAATATCGAAAACAGGATGTGTAAAACCGGAAATGGCCATAGAAAAATAAGGTATTATTTTTTAGGAGTTATCACTTTTTATATGGCTAAAATTGAACAAATTTAACATTAATATCATCATATTTTAATTTAATGAATAGTTATGAAATGATGTAATTTAAAAATTATGTCTTTTTTAATCTTTATAAAAAAAATTTGAGAGGTGGCTGGGATAATGAGCTGTTTAAAACTTTAGTTAAATTTTATCTCGAAATTCAAATTACTTGACAAAATAATTTTAAATATTTTATTTAGCATAAAATAATCTACCAAAATTGAAATTCAACAATAAATTTTCCCCCATATATTCAAAATTAAAAGAAAGGCTTAATATATTATTTGACGAGAATTCTATAGATTATAAAACATTCAAACAATGCATAGCAGTTGATCTAACTATCCTCGAAACACTGACAAAATCCGCTGACGAATTTGTAGATTATTTAATTGAATAATTAACAATTTAATTCCTCATTTCTCATTAATTCGATTCAATTTAAATGTTGCCAAATTCTTAGTTATTGCAGACTTTTCAAAAATTTATGCATTTGTAGTGCAGAACCATGCACAAGGATTAAATCAGACCAATAATCACCACTATCAACTCTTATAATTTATTACCATGTGAACAACATAATACATGTAAATTTATTGGTTAAAAGCACAACGCATGTGCATTTTATTTATTTTAAAAATTGATCGTATTCTTGAAGGAAGGATTTAATAGAAGTGGCTAAAATTTATTATTTTTCTGATGGAGCAATAACCAGTATAAAAATAAAAGATTTCATTGAACATCACATATTAACAACAATGGATTTATTTAACTATGCAAGAAAAAACATCAAAAGGATAAATTATATATTTGTGAGCAATAATGAATATATGAACATAGAAAGTCATCTTGAAAGCAGATTTTTTAGAGCAAATAGAATTTCTGGAACACAAAGTTCCAAGCTTTTATTCCCCTACACGAAAACAAAAGTCATAATTTATTAAAATTCCTTGGATGATTGTAATATATGATATATTTTAATTATAAATTTTTGATTGTATTATATGTAATGCAATTTGAGGCAAATAAAGTGATAAATATGTTTAGAATTATTTTGTCGAGTAACTTCTAGACAAAATTTAACTAAAGTGTTAAACAAAGCTCATTATTCCAGCCACTTCTCAAAAATTTTGATAAAGATAAAAAAAAGTAAGGGCCTATCATTTAGACATAATTTTAAATTAACATTATTTCATAACTATTCCTTAAATTAAAATGATATTAATGTTAAATTTGTTCAAAATTTAAATTATTTTTCTAACTTAATTATTACTCGAGATATTTGAAAATAAGTGAGGTGCATTTTGTCAAAAATGTACCATTTTTCCGAGCTTTAAACGGCCATATCTTAACGGGTAAACAGTGTTGGAAGGTAAAATTTCATTTTTTCTTAGTTATAGTATATACTAACAGTAAACAAAATTTAATAAAAATTGAAGGGGGTCGGGTTGAAACCTTGATTGATTTGATAAGGAATTCACCATATATAAATATTTTCAAATATTATTTTATAAACATATTCTATTTCCTCTTTTTACATAAATTTTTGGAAATAATGTGAAAATATTTAGATACACGTAATTAAAACATATTTACAAAAATGATAACATAAATATGTTTACTATGTATGTAGGAAATAAAATATTATTTAGAAATGGTCAATTCACCATATTTATTGTACCAAAGTTTAAGGTACAAGATTGAATTGGATTATTTTATTAGAAATAAGGTCACGAATGCCAAAGCAAAAGAGGAGTGGGTCCTAACCCCCTTGTTAACTGCTCTCCAAAAAAACTTAAAACTTAATCTCCATTAATTACAAAAACATTTTTAAAAAAATAATCATATTAAAAAAATAAATTCATATAAAATATAATGAATAGGTATTACATTTGTAGGTGTGCATGGCGGAAAACTCTCCATTAAATATTAAACCACCGTATTGAGCAAAAATTTGTAAGAAAGCTTTTTTATCTCTATTTAGATTTTGGATGTTCCTATATTTATTGAAGAAAATAAAATGAATTCATAATTAAAGTCTATTAGGGTAAATTTGATATATATTAATTTTAGCAACCTGATTGGTTTCAATTTCGATATACTCCTATTTTTCGAAAGTTTCATTTAAATTTGTTTCATCTATATATGTACGCAATCTATAAAAGAAAGATGGGTAATTCAAGTAGATATTCGGGAAGATCGAAGTCACCATTTAAATTGTAGATTTTATCCATATTACTTTTCTCAGAGCATATTAAAACATTACACCATTGACCGATGCGTTATGCATGCTATATGGGGTTTGATTCTCTTATCCATGTTGTATAAATATTCACTAATTATTAGAATTAAAATTTTTATAAGAAATTTAAGTTCAAATATTTTAATAAATTTATATTAATAAAAATAATAATATAGACACTTACCAAACAATAAAGCTTAATTGTTTATGTTCATTATAACCAAATATGTCATGCTCAAGAATATTATGCAAATAGGATTGTTTAAATTTCAAAATGAAAAATAAAAAGAAGTAAATGAAAAAAAATATATATTCTCATATTATAAGCATTTTCTATTTCCTCTTTTATGTATTAATTCATATAAATATATTTTATTTAGATAAGTGTGATTAAATAATATTTACAAAAATAATAACAAAAATATGTTTATACTTTGGATGTAGGAAAAATATTATTTAGAAATGGTTTATTCAGCAAAATTATTGTTTTTTTAAAAAAAAAGATCCAATTAAAATTAAAGAAAATTAAGCTAATTTAAAAAGTAACTTCGGATAAAATTATTCCAATTTAAATAAAAGAAAAGTAAGACAATGTACTCCATATGTTTCATATATCCAAGATATATGTTGCTTTTATTTTTAAATATATGAATCAATGTGCAATAGGGATAACCATTGCCCCTGATGTGAGATCAATTAAGTTCGAATATGTTTGGTGAAAAAAAAAATTATTTCTAATGTCAAATTTCAACCTAAAATCGATTTCGAAATCAAATCGGACAGGGTCAACCGGGCGGATAGTTCGATACAAATATTTTAAATTGACAAATTGTGAAATTAAATACGAATATGTGAAGAAATCATATTTTAAACTATTTCCAAGTTTTTGAAAAATAATTTATATTATTGACTCTAATGTTTATAATATTATTTATTTATTCTATGATTCGTTTTTTTTTAAAATTTTTAGAGAAAATGTTAATATAATTTTAAAATCCTTTTTTTTATTGTGATTTGATAAATTTATACTTATTTATTAACGTTTGTCAAAATTAAAATTTATTTTATTTTATTTATAGGAAAAATGAATATTTTTTTTCCCCTATATTTCTGGCCTCTCAGATTTTTTTAAATTTTCTTACAAAATTAATTTTTAGCATGATTAAACATGTCGGGAGCCTAAAAAAATATAACTTGGGCCTAGGTCGCGATGCTTTAATTTAAAAAATTTTTCATTCATTAGATGAATAAATTTAAATCTTCTAATGAAAATCAATCGAGATTATGATTGAGAATAAATAACCATAGGATTTTATTTATCTAATAATTTACATGGATTCGGATATATATAATATTTTTTAAGCATATTAATTATTGAATCCCTTTATTTTAATATATATAACAATAAAAATGATATAGAATTAATTAATAAGAGTATATATGCCTTATCTAATCACATGTAGTTTTGTTAAATGGCTCAATTTGATCCGATTTTTTAAAAACGATTAACTCAATATTTTAGCCAGAATAACATTAATTTCTTTGCAAAAATAATTAAAATATAGACAAAGCATTATTGAAAATATCTCTTATTACTCTCCTTTTGTTATTTTAATTACTTTTGCAAAGAAAATAATTTTATATCTATGAGTTATAATTTAATGGTCAATATGTTTCATTAAATCATCGCAACACTATATTACGAAATAAATTATATATATTCTTGTATTAAATTATCTCTTCATTTTGAGAAGTGTTGTTAAACGGCTCACTTTGAGCCGATATTTAAACGGGTAACTCAATATTTTAGATAGAAAAATATTGCCTAAGCCAGATTTCAATAATATATATGACCTTTGTTCCTTCTATGAACAAAATCTTCAGGATTACGTAATATTTTCCTGGCCGTTATATTGAGTTAGCCGTTAAAATCGGCTCAAAACGAGCCGTTTAACAACACTTAATTTTGAGGAAAAACTAATTTTTATTTTTATATATTGGTAAAATAGTTTTTCCTATCATACATTAAATCATACATTTACAATATTTTATATTATAATACTAATATATTCTATGAGTATCGCCGGGATGGCCTAATGGGTTAGATGTATGCTTAGAAACAGAAGGACGAAGAAGGACGCAGGTTCAATACTGGTAAGGAGCATAAAAACTTTCAAGTTTTTCTTCGATGACTGATCTGTAAAGACATATGGTAAGATGAATTTCGGAGCTTAGAGATGACACTCCGGTCACCGACAGGCCTGGACAGCCAGGTGCTAAGGATGCCTGTCCAATAAACAAAATGAAGGAAACAAATGGAAATATGAATATGAAAGCTAGGGCGTTCCCTCCAAGCGACGCGCAGGTGTAGACCTCCATCCTGTGAAAAGTAAAGTAAAGGTCAAAGCAAAGAAGACAAGATTAGCAAGTTTGAATATTGGGACGCTTAAAGGTAAGACTAGAGAATTAGCATCAATTGAACAAGAGAAAAGTTGATTAGCGTGCATTGTACTATAATAGAATTGTTAGCAATAGGAACAGTGTCGGCATCATCCTCAGTCAGGATCTAACCTCCTCAGAAGTAGAAGTCAACAGGATCTCTGATAGACTAATGAAGATAAAACTCTGCATTGGTCAATCAATACTAAACATCCTTTCAGTATATGATCGTCAAACGTGTTACAAAGGAGGAGAAAGATGACTATAGAGCTATCCTTGATGAAGCTGTAATGGAAATCCCTAAGGATGACCTAGTCATAATAGCTGGTGACTTAAATGCGCGGTGGAAAAAAATTATAAACAATGACAGATACCTTTGCAATCAATGCAAACATTGAAACAATAGATTCCTCACAAGTCAGTGAAAAAATGTGGACAGACCTATCATCCAGATTAATAGACACTGCAAAATCAACACTAGGCTTGACAAGGGGGGGGGATAACAAATCATACAAAGAACTATGGTGGTGGAATGAAGAGGTACAAACCACTATACAGGAGAAAAAAGCCCTTTATAAAATATGGTACAAATCCAAAAACCCAGATGACAAGACAAGATACAAAAAATCCAAGAGATTAGCTACAAAGGCGGTGGCTTGGGCCAAATCTATGGCATACAATGACATGTATGAAGAACTACATACCAAAGAAGGGCAAAATAAAATATACAGATTAGCCAAACAGCGAGAAAAGAATTCTAGGGATATAAACGGAGCTCCGCAGGTAATCAAGAATAAAGATGGGAAATTGATATTAAAATAAAAAGAAATAATGAATAGATGAAAAGAATACTTTCAAGAGCTTCTCCATTTTATTCCCCACATACTACATCTAGACGAACACTCCCCATGTCAAAACCTTGTACAACCTAAAACAGAACAAGAAATAATCACATGCCTCAAGCATGTAAAAAACAACCAAGCTAGGGGGTCCAGACGATATTCCAATAGAAAGCCTTAAAGCACTAGGGGATGATGGAATACATCTCCTCACAAATCTGTACAATAGAATACTTGGAAATGAAGAGGATCCCCAAAATTGAAGCAGAGCTATATAGTTCCTATCTTTAAAAATAAAGGGAATCCACATAATTGTCAAAATTACAGGGGCATAAAACTAATGTCACACTGTCTAAAACTATACAAAAAAATAATAGAAAAAAGATTAAGAGACAAAATCGAAATAGGAAAGACTCAGTTTGGCTTTATGCCTGGAAGATCAACAACTGATGCTCTACACGCAATTAGGCAAATGAGTGAAAAATACAGGGAAAAGAACAAAAGGCTACACATGGTCTTTCTCGATCTAGAAAAGGGCTTCGATAGAATCCCAAGAAAACTTATCTGGTGACGCCACAAAAAGATTCCCGAAAAATATATAAGAATAATAGAGGATATGTATATGAGCCATACAACAATGGTCAGTAGCGCAACAGGTACTTCAGCAGGCTTCACAATAGCCGAAGGAGTTCATCAAGGGTCGGCTCTCAGCTCACTTCTCTTCATTACAGTAATAGATATATTAGCACAGTCTATACCTAAAACAGTCCCGTGGAATATGATATTTGCAGATGATATTGTTGTTGTAGCAGTTAGAAAAAAGAAGAAATAAATTTAATATAATATACTAAATGTCAGTCATTTTTATGACATGAACAATAAATTTCCTTGGGGGAAGAAGGGGGAAATGGGAGATCACGTGATGCCAGCTGGTGAAGATCAAAGAATGGAAGGGATTGTGAAGATTTCAGTTATTGGTTATGTGTTTACCTATTAATAGTACTGTTTATATTATCGTTTATGATACTGTTTAGATTTTTTTTTTATAAATAAATGTGTAGTTTGGAGGTTTAAAATTGTGATACTTGCCGAATCCAAGGATGAAATGAAAGAAAGATTAGTGAGTTGGATAAATATCCTAGAAAAGCATGGACTAAAAGTAAATAAAAAAATGACGGAGTATATGGTGATAGGAGGTGATGAAACAGAGAGTATTGATATAAATGAATGGCAGATATCGGCAATTGAAAGCTGCAAATATTTGGGCTCCACTATACAAACAAAAGGCACAATAGAAAAAGAGATAAATTAATCAAGGGTGGTTAAAGTGGAGATCTTTATTTGGAGTGCTATTTGACAAAAGAATCCCACACAAATTAAAGGGAAAAATTTACAGTTCCATAGTACAACCAACCAACTAATTTTATTATAAACACACTAAAATTTTCTTATTTTTTTTTACCCCTATACATTTCAATTTGCGTTACAATTTAGCCATATTTTACCCTTATCGCTATAGCCTAACAATTATTGTGCCCTCTGAAATAATATGCCAGCGGTCGTCTTACTCTCCGTGAAACAGAGCGCGGGATAGCGAGCATATCGAAGCGAACGATACGTTTATTATTTTAAATATTATTATATATTTTTATAAGGATAAATTTCTATCTTAATTTTTTGTTTATAGTTGCAATATTTTACGAGAAAAAAAAAAAAATTAATTATCATGAGATAAATTTGACGAATAAATCAAAACATTATATTTTATCGCGTAATATATACGTAATTATAACTAAATAAATTTTACGTATAATAACTCATAAACAAATACCTACACGCGTTGAAAAATATAAAATTTATTTATTGTCTATACCTGCTATAATTTTAACAATGAAAGAGTCTAAGAAAAAAAATTTAATCAATCTTGACACGGTCGATTCTTAATAATAATTTTATCGGAAAATATAT